AATTTAATCAGAGCGAAGAGCAAAAGCAGAAGCACTTGCTTACTAATACTATATCAATATATAAACTGTTTTATGCAAACACGTTGGAACATTTACCTGCCAGTTTAGCTCAACAAGTTTCAGTCTTTCAGTCTTTTGTTGATAATTTTTTTTTCTATGCATGAAAAAAAACCCCAACCACATTACTGTGGAGCTGAAGAAGTTATTTGCATGCCTAATTAAACATAATATACATGTAATAATAAAAAACAAGAAAAAAAAAGTGAGCTTCCTACCCGTAATAAGGACTGGGACTCGTCCTTTGCCTTGCTGTCCCCGGACCCAGGGTAGGGCTGGGTGAGCTGCCCGGCCTTCTCTGCCGCTCCGGCTGGCACGCCCTGCAGGAAGCTCTTGCTCTCCACCGCCAAGCCATAAATGGGCCGCGCAAGATGGGCAGCTTCTACGTTTGGACTATCCCTTAAAGGCTTTGGCTGCTCTTGGCCAACGGACACTGGGGTCAATAAGCCTAGACTGGTCTGTGTGTATGACGGGCTCCCCCTCAAAATGTCTGTGCCTCTCCAGGTCACATTGCGAAGATCATCACTGGGACTGTCAGTCCAACCTTTCTCCTTGAGCACTTCCTTATCTTCTACCTTTTCCCTCTTCACTATGCTGTCAGATATGGCCTCCCCCATTTTGGGGTCCGGATTAATCAGACTGTAGACCTTGAGGTCAATTTTTGGCTCCTCCTTGATCGATGAAACGCCATGACTGTCCTCCCCGTTGGCTGTAGTGACGTCCATCTCCTGACAGTGCACAGTATTGAAGTGCTCGAGTAGTGACTGAGTGTCAACAGCTGTGAAGCTGCACTGACGGCATTTGTAGCAGTTGTGTACTCTCCTGGAAGAAAATGAGAAGTTTGTTAACATGAGAGCCTCCTCTCAGCCTTCCTTCTCGCTGTGGTTCTACCTACCGAGATGAAAAAACAAATCAAACTTACAGCACAACTCCTTCTAAATAAAGCAAAAAGGTTTACTTTGGTGTCTTATACAATACGGGGAAAATCCTGCTGGTTTTTCCCCCATGCCTTGCAATGGCCTCCTGTTGCTCATTCACACTCCCCTGCATTACTCTAAACTTCATATAACTCTCACTGGGATTTTGTGTTTCTTCCTCTTCAGTTTGCTGCAATGCACTTTTCGCTTTCTACTGTGGCAGAAACACTGTAGTAACACATTTTCTCAAAGAAAATCAAACAGTTAAAAACGGAGTTTAAGTCTTCTTTGTATAAAAAGCAACTTTGTTTAACATAAGTCTATGCTCGAAAGCTAAAATGCTTAAAAATTCCTTGCTTTTTGCCAACTTAATATACTTTTGGTTGACAAAGATACACCAAAGGACAGAAGGTTGTACACAACAGAGACTATTTGTTCTGTATGAACATTTTAACACAACTTCAAAAGATGCTGCTCTGAAGAAAAAGCAAAATAGTTGCCTATGCCACTACAAACTGCATTTCCTGTCAAATACTGAAATGTTTGGGTGAGAGCTGTGGAGCAATGTGGAATAACGCGCCTTCCTGTTTTTATTCTAAAAGCCTATATAAAGTACTGTATTACTAAATTATGTAAAGCATATGTTGCTACATGAGAACAACATGTTACTCATTTACTGTATCTATCATAGGAACAGAACACTGTTTATGAGCTCTGTAACGCCATTATGAATAATTGTTTATAGCACAGGAGTGGTCAGAGCCTCCGTCAGGCTCTGGGCCCCCCAGCGCCCGGCGCCGTACCAACGCGGAGTGAAATGCCGTTCCTGCCCTTCATCAAAACGTACATAAATCTGCAAAAGCTTCTCCCTACAGATGCACTCACACATCCACACCCCAGGCATTCAGAGTCACAGCAGCATCTTTAGCCAAGCTAAAAAACGAGCCTTTCACTATCCACACAGGACAAAACTTGTATGAGAAATCTGTTACTGCCCTGACAACTCCAAATGTTAGAATCAATTCTTTTGAGGCCAAATCCGGTTCTCAGTAAAGTCGATGGCAAAACTCCCATTGACTGCAGTAAGAGCAGGATTTGGCTTTCGATGCATCTGTAGAACTGGAATGATACACAAAATGTCCCTTTTAGACTATGATAGTTTAGAAGGGACAACTTGCCAAACTTATTAAACCCCCTTGTCTTCCTTCTTTCCTTTTGTTGGAAAAACAAACCATATGTTATTTACATTGTCTGATTTTCTTGCAGTTGTGTCAGCATGCAGACATGAGTACGCATTCAGATTCAAGCTTTTTAGCCCTTGTGCAATATCAGTTTTCTTTTTGTCATTTTCCGTATTTATTTTCATTTTAAGGGACTAGATGGGCTCGTTCAGTTATGCAAAAAATAGAGCCAGCTATTCTCCACATAGCCTTATGGCAACAAAATCTACTTACGGGAGAGCAAGCTGTGGGTTAAAATCCTGTTCTGGCTGTGCTCCTTTTTCTTCATTCTCCAATTGTGTTTTATTAAAATCAGCTTGTCTCTCAATGCGACACTAATATATTCTCTCTTGCAACTTAATTCTTTTCTAAACCAAGCTTAATTCTCTTCTGAACAAAAAAAAAAGAGAGAGTGCTATCTGATCAAAACCATTTTATAAATACAAAAAGCCAAGTTATAAAGAGGGTCAGCCCTAGAAAGGTGGGATACCATCAGGGAAGTCCAAGTTAGACAGGGGCTAGTTATCTTAAAAGCCAAGTTAAACAAGACACCATTTGGGGCTAATGGCTCAACCGCATACACTCCCCATGTGAAAGTTTATCAATCCTTTGGGAGGCTACTTAGCCCTAAGTGTCTCTTGTTTAACTTGGCTATTTCAATAGCTAACCCCCTTTCCTAACCTGGCTCTCATCTACAGATATCACACCTCCAAACAGCTGATCTTTTTCTGCCTAAGTTGTCCTTTCCCTCCCTGCCCTCTTCCACGCTGGCTAAATGTTTTTGATCAGGAGCAGCGTACACCACAGGAGTGGTACCGCACTTCTGAGGCCACAAATAAATGCCGAATATTAGATACAGTTGTAACTACGTGGTTGAGGCCCGGCTACAATCACCTTTATTACTTTAAAGGTTTGTTCATTTAAATGATTTATAACTGATTCAAAGAGAGCCATGCAAGCATTCCTTCATCTTTCTGTGAAACCGTGACAGGCACTGTGATGTGGAAAAGAAAAGGACTGATCTAGGTAGATCGCAACCCAACAGGCTTTTTTTTAGGACATATACTTTTCTATTATGCATTAAAAAGTAGTATCTACCAACAGCATTATCCATCTTCATACTTCAGGTTTGTCCTTTATATTATTCTATCCCCAAGCTCCAAAAAGTAAGCTAAAATTTGAAATTGTCCAATATAAGTCACAGTCTCAAAGAATAAAATAATAACTATCATCAGCTATTAGAGAATTTTTGAAAGTTGGAAACTTATTATTTCCCAGAACAAAGGATAAAAAGAAAATGTTTTCATCTTTGAATGTTTTCACCCCACCCTGATAGCAATCAGGGAAACAAGTTGGCAATGTTTGATTTCTTTTTAAATCAGAATTTAAACCTACTCCATGTTTCTAAAGGCCCAAGTTACATCTAGATTTATGCACAAATCTCCTCAAAGCTGAGCAACAAAATTTAAAAAATTGCAGTTTGCAAAGTACACAACAGATACCCCCATGCATTACCTGAAAGCTGCACTTTGCAGCTAAACCACGGTTATACCATCTGAAACCCCAAATTCAGGTGCAATAGAGTGTATTGTATACAGCTGATCAAAGGAGAGGTGTTTGAGGCAAATCTCAGTATGGAAGGAACCAATGTAAATGAAGAAATAAACAGCATTCTCCCCTTTGTGATCTTGCTTATATGCCACTCAAGCAACCCAACAGCAAGTTCAAACCATAAACTGGCTTTGTCTTCAATGTGGCATTGGGATGGCAATATCACCCCATTTGCTGACGTCACTTAGCATTATTATTTTTCACTACAAAATAATCAAAGACCTGATTATTCGTGGACATTAAAACTTTTATGGCCCAATCCCAGGACTAAATGTCACGGAACCCAGGCCAAACCATTGCTGCACTGTTACATTCTGACAACTTAATAAAATCCTATCATTATTCATTTGTACCGAAATGCACTTGAATTGGGTGCTGTAAGATATAAGGATTTTCCCTTGCAAAATCTTGAACTTGGAGAGATTTTTTTTTTTAATGGATATAATGTTCTTTACTTGAGCTTTCTAATAGGCTGTGATACTCCTGACACTAGCCAATGGTTAATTAAGTCTTGCTGACATACTTCGAACTAGTCCAAACTATTACAAAACACCATTCACTACAAAACAAGTTGGTTATTTTTAAATTACCTGAAGACATTCCTAGGCTCTAGGGTATAGAAAATATTCTGGATGAAGATATGGCTGAAGGTATGGCTGTCATATCTCTTCCATTTTTTTGCAAGTTTTGAATTTCATTATGAATATAATAAATACCAGTATTTCTCATGAAGAAACAAGTTTATAAGAAAGTTTACTTTTGGAATGGGTGCTGCACTCCAGCTTGTGGGGAGTGGAAAATATTTTCAGAAGGAAAGACAGGAAACAAAGCAAGGAAGAAAATTCAGAAGGGACAGAAAGGGGCAAAGAACAGGCAGAGCGGAGAGCAAGGCTGAGACGAAAGGAGAGCAAAAGCCATTGGCAAGAGCAAACAAGTTCAGAGCAGTGAATTAAGGTGTCGGGAGGATGGAAAAGGTCCTTGCAGCTGCTGCTATTGTTCAATGAGTGAAGGCTCCAGCTTTGCTGAAAAACCAGGAGCTGGTGGGCCTCAATTTACACTTTTGCCCTCAGTTGGCTGCTCTGGGGCATCTCCCAAAGGCTCCACATGTCCATAATCTACCCGTTGAGATCCTCCAGCTTCCGCTGCCTGACAGTGCAAGGCAGAGCAGCAGCTCCAACATCCCTATGGCTACTCAAGCAGCCCTTTGCCTTTTACACCTCTACTCCATTTACCTTTAAGAGGCAGGAAATTTAATTTAATTCTAAATTAATTTTAAAAGAGAACCCTAGATAACCGCTGCCATTCAGATTTTCAAAGTAATTTCTGTTTATTAGATACATTATTCTACCTCACTGCCAAAGCTTATGTTTCATTTGTGAGTCTTTTTAATTTCTTTCTATATTTTGTAGCAGTTTGATGAATCACTACTGTACCATTTTTTTAGCATTTTAATTACAATTACCACCAGTCAAATACTTTCTGTCAGTCTTTTTTGATAAGTAAGGATTTACATGAAAACATCTAATTTTTGCAAAAATTAGAAAGTGCATTTTTTTCCACATCTTTTAGACAATTTGAAAACCAAACCACTCTGCAAAAAGACTTTTTTTTCCTTAAAAAAAGAAAGAAAATTTTAAAATTAATTATTGTGAGGCAAGCAGGAAAATAGTCCTTAGACTGTGATGTGACATGCAAAATTTCCCCAAATACTCAGTATGATTTTTATCTTAATTACAAGTGTTGGCATCTTCCAGCTCATCAGAATACCAGACAGTTTTGAGGAAAAATTAAACTTCACAATGAACTTAAAGAGTACCTGATTCCTCGTAGGTATAATAGCAGAATTAGTGGAAAATGGAGGCAAATAAACCTTCTGGGAATTTGTTTGAGTAAGCACATTTTAGTGAGGTTTAAATACAAGTAAACTCAAGTGCAATGTGATTCATTAACTTCAAATTTATCTGAAAAGCTCTCAAATAATCACGTCAAGAAATACTGAATGAGTGTTAAGTGTAAGTCTACATTTCTGTAGACAGAACACTTGGAAAGAACCCTTTTTGCAAATTCTAATGCTGTTGCAAATACATGGTTGCAAAGCAATAATATTGAGGTATACAAAATTTTTTAGCTAGCAGACATAGTGAAATTGTAGATGTAGAGCCAAAAAGAAACAAAATAATAAAGAAAATAAATTAAGCGTGCTGTTCAGGCATACTACTCAAAAACAAAAATAAACAAAAATGCAGACAAAAATTACATGAACCAAAATATGTAAGAAGCGTCTAAAGTAATCTCTGATACTCACAGATTATCAAGGGTAAACTAAATACGTGAATGGCAGAACACTTTCTGCCACCATATTAATGCTTAGTATCATGTTTGCCATTAGAATCCATACAGCTCCTTATTATATAAATGCATGGGGTTTAGATATATGTGCACGTATAGCATTTTAAATACATCAGAAATACATAATGTGTGGTGTAACAGCTTTGCTGGGATAAACGCTGATGAAGCCACGGGGAAGGCCAGCTAGGATATGAGCTGACTCTACATCAGCATGTTTCTGTGTGTCACGTAACTCTCAACTCTGCCATTTGATAGAAGTTCTGCTCTTTTAAATCTGAACTATTCTGTATCTTTAGTTCATAAAATACAAAAAGGGAAAGAAAATATAGATCCGATACACGCAAAAGTTCTATTAAAAAAAAAAACCAAACCCTGACAATAATAATAAAAATAGAAGCTATAATGTCTCAAAAGTCTCTCATTCCATTTGTTTTAGTTTGGTAGAGTGAAAACTATGAAAACTGTGTTCGGCATAGAAAAGCAATAAAACCTGCTGGTGTTTGCCTTTACAGAGCACCTACCACAAACTGAACTAGCTTCTATGATTTCAAAGAAGATGCACAGTGGGGGAAAAGAGCAGCAGTACATGCAGAGAAGAAACAAAATCCAAAATAAAAAGGAGGGGAGGGCAGGAGAAAGGGAAATAAGTTGGCAGTTATGGGGATGTTGTACTTTGCTATAATTAAATTACACAACATCCTCAGAGTACTCAATAATGTCGTAGACTGAAGACTTAAAAAAGTACATTGTTTGAGTGTCTTAAACAGAATATACAGATTTTAGACAAACAAGCTGAGATTCAAACACTTAAGTGCATCTCTTTAGTTTCCAAACTGCAGTTCCTGTGACAACTGCTGGAGCCCTCCAACAGAGAAGCTACTGCTACCCTGTCTCTGACTTAGCACTCAGCTTTGAAAGTCATGGCTGCTTCTTTCCTTGGGAAAAAAGATTTTAACTAGGCATGCTTGTTAAAAATTAAATTACCAGCTGCATAAAAGTGGGTTTTTTTCAGTCAAGGAGCCATTTCAATCTTCCAGTTATTTAACCACTAAAAAAAGATCATGCCATGCCCCAGCGGCGGACAAAGTGCTGCCTATGGAGTTCTACAGCATGGCTCAAAGCTGCTGTAATAAAGCTTGGAACTTAGGTACCACTTTTCATCTTCAAAGCAGTTTACAAACATTAACTAATTAATCCGCACAACATCCCTGAGGCCCACTTGGATCAAAAATGATGCACTGCATGCTGGGACCTGAATCCTCCGTGGGCCCTAGCTCCAAATTAAAGATGAGCAATCTGCTTCTTCTTTTTTTTTGGTTGTTTTTTTTTTTTGTGTGTGTGTTTTTTATTTGTTTTTTTAAATAGACTCCTGATACATTGCCAATGCAGCCCTCTGTTGGGCAACATTTGGATGCCCCCAGCTTTAATCTCTATTAAAGTATCATGCCCCAGTCTGCCTTTGTTAATTTTGGATGTCTTGGAATCCATTAAACGTGGCACAGTTTCTCAAGCTTTTAACAAAGCTTTAGCTTTGAAAATACATCTTCTTTTGTCTTCATTCTAGCTGGCTTCCATGCAAAGATCTTTTAGATGAGATAGATAGTGAGTTTTCCGCTGCTGTTGACGCATTAGGCTTAACTATTAACATATTCAGCATGATTTTCTAATATTTAACATCACTTTTGCAGCGGCACATAACTGTTGGTCTTTACAAAGCCTAAGAGCCAGCTCCTCCTCTGATGTAGACTGGACTGCCAGTTTACAACAGCCCAGGAACTGACCCAAGAAGTTTAGCAGGGAGTTGGCTGCCACTATGACATTGTGTCAGACTGAGTCAGGAGACTGGCTACATCCACCTCCAAATAGGAATATTAGCATTTAAAATAAATAGAATGACACTGTAAACCAGCAACACGAAAATAAGCATCTGCAAAAGGATCTTGGGGGATGACATCAACAGACAAAAGAGTGTCTGCTCCCAGTGTGAAACCAACACCAAAACAGCAGTGGAATGCTCTTAAACTAATTATTGCATTGCTGGACTTGGGAACGGAAAATACTACAAAAAGGTAGTACATTGAAGCACTGTGATGGAGCATGAAAGGATTCATAGTCTATCTTGGAAAGTAAAGCCATTTGTGTTCCCCTAGTAAATGAAGATGCCAGCTTTCTGGTAAAAAAAATCCTAAACTGAAATAGTACCTAAAAGCTTCTGGGTGGAAAACAGTTGACCAAACCTCAAATATGCTGGAACTTCAGCATCTGCACACAAATCCAAATCTCCCTCTTCTTTCCACAGGTTTAAATGTTTAATTAAATCCATCGACTTAGCTGGTGGTTTTCCAAAACAAAGTGGATGTTGGATTAGACCCTGGCTGTAAAGATTTATATCTATAGGCATTCATATTTTGATTTCCAGTTTCCTCAAATGTTTGGGGAACGGTGACATTTAATTAAGGAACTAAGGGAGGGCTGTTTATTTGGGTTCCTGTCTTTAATCATGAGAAACTTCACTGTACCTGTAGTGTCGGGAAATCTCTTCTTCCACCTGGGTGGTAAAGTCACATTTGGTACATGAGTGTTCTTTGTTCTCCTTGAGCGTCAGCGGCCCCTCCACCCCTGGCAGGGCGTTTGTTTCTGGTTTGACATCAGACGCTTGGGCTTCATGTGCATTCTCATAGTGGAGCAGGAGAACGTCCACGTCGGGAGTGGAGAACGAGCACTGATGGCACTGGTGTTTGACTCTAGAGCTTCCTGTCACCCCTGGAGACAGGTGCAAAAGCAAGAGAGCACAGTGGGAACAATTACTTTTTCTGCAAGCAAATGGATAAGTAATTTCTCCAAGGTGCTTTTCTGGGCTGCAGAGGCCTCGGGGACAGAACTGACAGTGCTTAATGGTACACTTATGAATGTTGTGTAGCTGCTGATAGTGACGGAGAAGTGGGCCCACCACTATTACATCTGGGCCATGGCTCTTTGAGTACCTAAAGTCACAGAACTGACAGTTGTAGCTTGTCACCATGCTGTCCTCTGCTCCTTTGCTAGTCAAGTCTTTCTTTTTTGCCACACTCGCACCCTTTTCTGTCTTTGTCACTAACTCCCCATCTGCATTTTTGGCTAGATCATTCTGGTTAATGACAGATCCCCTAGAAAGCTTATCATTCAGATCTGGGTGAAGGCTTCCTGCCTGGCTTCCCCCATGCTGTTTGCTGTAATGTTCTAATAGTTTCAGTGAGCTGGACGATTCACAGCTGAAACTGCAAAATTTACACCAGTAGTAACTGGTTGTATCGGTACCATTTTGTCTAGAGGAATCTATTGGCTTGATGGGCACCGAATATCCAACTGGTGTATCATCTCCTGCTTTTACAGTGATTCTGTCTTGCCACTTCCCCAAGTCTCCAGAATCACATGGTCGAAGAGTAGGACTGGATTTATTGGAGTTTTTCTCTGAAGTTTTACCAGAATCAGAGGAGGGAAGGGCTGCTTTCATTTTGTTTGGGTGAGTCTGTAAGAAGTGTTGTTCTAGTTCAGTGGAGGAGTTCCCCATGTAGGTGAAATTGCAGAATTTGCAGCGGAAGTACTTGGTGTTGCCTTGGCAATCTGGAGTTTTCCGCCCAATTCCAATAAAGGTTCCACCTAAAGTAACCTGTGAATAAAGAATAAGGCCATTTTAGCTTCACTGTAGATGTATTCAAATAGCAAGAAAGCAAGAAAAAAAAAGATAAACAGAAAGCAATTAATTAATAAGCCTTGTTCATTAACCATCATCACCACTTTCATGTGTACTAATGTACAAAGATACCATGTATTTCGCATTTGTTGCTGAAGGTTTTGAAATGTTTCACAGAGCTGAAAGTATATTCCATATGAATAATAAATAAATTTGGGGAAACAGAGGCATACATACACAACATGATCTTAACTCAGGTTCTCTGACAGGTCTATTCCTTCACTACATCACTAAATCATGTCATTGACAGAAGATCCAACAAGCAGTTCCCATATCCCTGAACCCTTTGACAGGAGACTGCTGGGAGTCTATTCTAGGTGTGGAACAAAAGAGCAGTCTTTATCTTTCAATACACTTATACGTTTTAATCACATTCATGCTCACCAGTCCAAGAGAATTGCTTTCTAAAAATGTGCAAACAAAAATTAAACCTGAAATAGTGAATTCTGTTTGCTGGGTTGAAGCATGACCAATTCTTATAAAAACCATTCGTACAGGAGTATCCAGTATCCACCAGGACGTCTCTTAACACAGCCATAGCGGCTGATGCCTGAAAGAAAGGCAGTTTTCTCAAAGATTACTCAGTGCAGACATTCTCCAAGGAAATCTTGTGTTCCTCTCATGCATAGAGCTCAACACGGATGGAAAAACTACAGTAGAAAAATGGCATGTGGCAAGGAAACCTACCACACCCAAGTCCATGACATCACCAATTAAAAAAAAAGGTAGGTCTACTTAACTGTTCTCACCATCTCTGAGCAAAATGGTCTGCAGGAAGGAAACAAGGCTTCCAGGGCTTATGTTATTAAACCCTATATTCCCATAGCAGGCAGGCCTGCCCTTCCCAGGAGTGCACCACACCTGCCCATGACATCAGGGGGAGATTTGCTGCTCCTGCACAATTGGTTTGAAGGCCAAAGAATCTCTTGACAAAAATGGCACCATTGCTCTACTTCTTTTCCTGAATAGTAAACAGTGTACAGCAAGAATATAATTCCTCTTTACACACAAAATCCACAGACCTCTACTCCCTTGCCATCATCCAGTCTACACCACTACATCAAGCACGAGTGGAAGCTTCCTTGTGCCACGTACTCAATTTGAGACCCAAGAGATGCCTTACAGGGAATATAACATTTCCACACAAGGTTTGATTTCCATTCTCCCAACCAGTAAGTGTATTACTACATTTCTGCAGGATTCAGTTGTAATGCATTAAGCAAATGGTGTAATTATTTTTCTTCTCCTCCTCAACAGCTGTGCCACAAAGCAAGCATGTGATCACTGCTCATTCAGTATCACACCATACGGAAAGACTCAAGACATACAGAAAGCATGAAATGTAAACATTTTAAAATGCATCTAATATAAATGCTTTTTAGCCATTTAGCTCAGAGAATGAGATGCTATCCTCTGTATCCCATCAGAATTGAACATGTATAGTGAGTCAATGAGTTGCTAAACCATGACATAATGAGCTGCTGCTATTCAGCCTCCATATTTATTTTTTTTTAAGAAAGCACAATTCCCATGCACTGGTTAAAACTTTTTCTTAAATAAACTGAAAATTGCTTTCTGTTTGTTTAGGAAACATATCTCATTAGGCAATGGTGAGCCAGGCAGCCAAATAGCTAGGACTTAGCTGTAATATTTTAACTTAAACTGGGGCTCAAGTTCCGGTATCAAGTTATGAATCTGTTTTTGAAGAGGTTGCTTGGAAGAGGGATGTTTTAACAGATCTTCCGTACTGCAGAGGTTATCTCATTTTATTCATTTTATGGCAAGGAAGAACTGGAGATGAAGCCATGCTGAATCTGATCCACTGGCAACAGTGGGATTTGAGCCTCTCCACAGTATCTGGCACTTCAGGTCTCCATCCGCTGCATTATTTCAATGTTCAAAGTCTCAATGGTGTTGAAAGACAACTTAAAGAAAGCACTGATGGAATTACGGTAAACAGAAAATAACAGCAGCTCAATACGCGATTACATAAGTTGCAAGGTGATCTGGTTTTGCTCATTTAATTAGATACTTATGTTTGCTCTATGCATGCACAGAAAACTGGCCAAAGTGCTTTACCTTAAGTGGCTCTAATGGGTAAATACATCTATTACTCTCAGCTGTCCATTCACAGAGTCTACAGATAACAAACCTATTTTGCAGACACACTGTAGACACTAGTTAAAAACTGTGACAATAATCCCAGGTGCTGTTCATTGCAAATTACTTTTATTTCTGAACACTGGAAAAACATATTATTAGTACTAGCATTTTATATAACGGACTGTAAATGACAGCATTTCTGTAACTTGTGCTAATACTGCTTAGTGGCCTACACAGCAAGTTTGTGTCCCATGTTAATACATCCTTCTCTGCATCACAAGAGGGTAAAAGAGAATTATTTGTGTTAACGTGTTGCAATGGAGGGGACACACAGTCTTTACAGCACTGGAATATAATAGATTACCAATTATAGGGCTGGCATTTCCCTGACTACCCTGCCACAAGTCAAATTAATGCATCCTATTAGGAGAGCATGTACGTGAAAGGTAGCACAGGGTCATCTTAATGTTATTACACTCAAAAGCCATTTTTCTTGCAAAACAAAACCTACTGAAAGTCGTCTTGGGGGTCATCGGGTAGAGAACTGAAGAACCTGCTTCTGTGCAAAGAGGTTGGGAGAGGCCCTTGAAGTGACAGTATAAACTGAAGCTGTTTCAGCTTTCAGCCAACCAAATTCAGATGAAGCCTACAGATTTGCAGAATTGTGTGGATCAATACACTCTGCTCAACTCTTGGTGTGACTTTCAGATTTTTCAGTTCCATATCGTTTCTCTATGTACAGGCACTAAACTCCTTTACCGGCTATGTAATTGCCCATAAACTCCTGCTCTCTATGATCTGCCCCTGAAAGATGAAAAATAAAGGGAAAAAGAGGGAAAAAGACATATATATACCCTAAAAATCAATATCCACATTTCTGTGTGGTATCACAAGCAGTATCTTCTAGCGTTTATTTCCCTATTTCATTCTGATGCCAGTAAAACCTAGTCCCCTGGTTTGCTCCAGCTGAGTTTTAGACACTCTTCCTCAACTTAAACCAGAAGAAACTAAACAAAAGCAATGCTAAAATTCTCAAGTTCTATCATAGCAGTCAAATTTTAAGCACCAGCTGAGGTAACCAGTGGCAATCACAAGAACAGGCACAGCTTGCACTGGAAATGTAAGAGTGCCTATAGATCAACAGTCCCTTCAATAAGCACAGAAGAAAATAATACATAATTCACTTTTTAAAGGGAACCTAACATAGCAGGCATCTGTTTGGATGGAGGAGACCTGATTTAGTTCTTTCTTTCAGTGTCACTTTTTTGTGAGACCTTGAGATTATCCCTTACTCCTGCAGCACCTCAATTATGGCAATATAGTTGGTATTATTTATAGAGGAACACAGCTACTAGAATGGGTTCTCCGCTATTGTGCTTGAGATGATTGCACTGATATTCTTCAAAAATTGCTCTCCAAAGCCATGTCTCAGTCTTGGATTAAACAAAAAAATATTTCGCAATAAGACACCCTGAAACTCAAAACTTTCAGTCGTTAAATTCATGCATTATAGGGGAAAATTATAAAAAATCTAGAAGAGTGGGAAAGAATTTATCACAATGATTGAAATTAACGTGTTAATACAACTAAGCTATCTCCTCACATACCACACACATTTCCAAAAATAGGCAAAAAAAGGAGAAAAGATAACATGATAACTGACAATGTTTCAAGATGTACTTTCTAAAGCATGTTGGCAAGTACTTCAACAAAGCTGTGTAATTGCACTATATACTTCCAACAGATATGTCTATATTACCTTAATCAGTCAAACCAAAAACAATGATTTCATGCAATACATGGACTTGGACAAGAAGAGGTATTTTCATTATTTAAAAAAAAAAGTTTTATATTTAATCTGCCCTTGATCCAAATGCTACCCTAATCTCCCACCTCCTTTTCAAAGTTCAATCCTAAATCTTATTATGACAAAGCAGTTTAAAAATACTGCTTACAGAAAAGAAAAAAATTACCAAGACAAAGTCTGCCAGCTCCTGTAATCATACGTTTCAAGAAGAAAATATATATCCACATAACAGATTTAACCACAAAGCTTACATGCACAGGGTGAAGCTGTCTTTGACCCCTGGCTTCTTCTGCAACTACCGATTAGAAACTAGACCAACCATCTGCATTGGAACACCAAACGTTAATAAATCTTCTTTTTTTTATTACCTGGGTTACATCTTTGGCTAATCAGGAGGTGAAAGGCTCCAGATCCCTTACCAATCTCCTGAGCCATCCAGTCTGCCTTTGCCAATTACTCTTAATCTTCTAATCCTAAAGTATTTTCTAATGCTCTTGTTTATTCATTTGCTTTGTTCAATATAGCATCCAGAACATTTTAACCATCCCACATTTATGAAGTTCTTCATGTCATGCAGGCCAGAACAGATTCCTGGCTTTCATGCAAGTTTGTGTAACACCACTCAGTTCTCTAACCTCCACTATGAAAAACTCCCTCTCACTTGCTCTCTGTCTGCAGGTAAAACTAGGAGAATCTTCAGAGTACACTCTTAAAACCATTTATCATACTGTGTTTAATTTATTGGTAGGCAGAACTATGTTGCACAAATGACACAAAGACTAAGGGAAAACTCCTGGCTTTCTGGGCTATTCGTACTTACCAAAACAAGAAAGCAAACTACTGGGTCACATTCATTCAATATGAGTGTACTCTTCTCGAGATTTATTCCGTTGCCGTTGAAGCCAGTATGGTTTTTGACATGAGAATTTAAAAGGTATTTTTAAAACAAAGACTGTGACAGAATAATAACAGGACCTAAATTAAGGTCAGGAGACCATATGTGCAT